AAACTTTCCCCTTTCCGATGATGTTTTTGGTTTGCGTGGGCGACCCTCGGTTTCGAGAAAAAGGTCTACAAAGGATTGTTAACAAAAATCTTGTATGTTCTTTTCACATGTGGCTCTTGAAATGAGCAAAAGGCTGAATGGAATTCAAAGGGAAAATAGGCCGAAATGAACAAAAAGTCGAATGGAATTTAATGAAACAAAACGTTGACTAGACAAGAGTTCGAAATGTACAAAAGGTTGAATAAAAAAAATATGGAAAATAAACAAAAAGTCGAAGGGACAAAATATCAAAATGGACAAAAGGTCGAATGGAAAAAAACATCAACAAAAGGCTGAATGGAACTTAAAAAGACAGAAGGTTGAATGGAATTTAAAGGGACAAAAGTTCGAATGAAATAGAAGCCGAATGGAATTCTAAGGAACAAAATGTCGAATGGACAAAAGGTTGAATGAGCAAAAGGTCAAATGGAATTAAAATTCAAATTGACAAAAAGTAGCAATGGAAAAAAGGTGGAAATGGACAAAAGGTCGAATGACAAAACATCAAATCAAGAGCCACGTGTGAAAAGAGCATACATGTTTTTTTGTAAACAAACCTTTGTATGCCCTTTTCGCACCACCCATATGACACCAAAGCAAACCATCAACATCACCGGGTAGAGAAAACTAATCCCTTCCTGATGATGTTTTTGGTTTGCGTGGGCGACCCTCGGTTGGGAGAAAAGGGTCTACAATGGTTTGTTTACAAAAAGCTTGTATGCCCTTTTTACATGTGGCTCTTGAAATGAGCAAAAGGCTGAATGGTATTTCAAGGGACATAAGGTTGAAGGGAATTTAAAGGGAAAATAGGCCGAAATGAACAAAAAGTCGAATGGAATTTAATGAAACAAAACGTTGACTAGACAAGAGTTCGAATTATGGAAAGTAAACAAAAAGTCGAATGGACAAAACTTTGAAAGGACAAAACGTCAAATGAAATTTAAAGGGATAAAATGTCAAAATGGACAAAACATCAACAAAAGGACGAATGGAGCTTAAAAAGACAGCATGTTGAATGGAATTTAAAGGGACAAAAGGTCAAATGAAATAAAAGTCGAATGGATTTTAAAGAAACAAAAGGTCGAATGGACCAAAGGTCAAATGGAATTTAAAGGAACAAAAGGTTGAAGAGGACAAAAGGTCGAATGTAATTTAAAGGAACAAAATGTTGAATGAACAAAACATCAAATGAAAAAAAGGCTGAATGGAATATAAAGAAACAGAAGTTTGAATGGACAAGAGGTCGAAATGGACAAAAGGTTGAATGAAAAAAAAATAGGGAAATTAAAAAAAAAGTCAAATGGATAAAACTTTGAATGAACAAAAGGTCAAATGGAATCTAAAGGGACAAAATGTCAAAATGAACAAAAGGTCGAATGAAAAAAAACATCAAATGAACAAAAGGTTGGATGGAATTTAAAGAGACAGAAAGTTGAACGGAGTTTAAAGGGAATAAAGGTCGAAATGAACAATAGTTTAAAATGGACAAAAGGTCGAATGTACAAAACATCAAAAGGTTGCATGGAATTTAAAAGGAAAATAGGTTGAAATAAAAATTACGAATGGAATTTAAAGAAGCAAAAGATCGAATGGACAAGAGGTCGAAAAGCACAAAAGTTTAAATAGACGAAAGGTTGAAATGGACAAAAGGTTGAATGAAAAAAAATAGAGAAAATAAACAAAATTAGAATAAACAAAATTCGAATGAACAAAACGTCGAATGGACACAAGATCAAAATGAACAAAACATCAAATGAATAAAATGCTGAATTGAATTAAATTGATAGAAGGTTGAATGGAATTTAAAGAGAAAAAAAATGTCAAAATGTATAACATTTTGAATGAACAAAAAGTCGAATGGAATTTAATGACAAGACGTTGAAATGGACAAAAGCATGAATAAACAAATGATGTAAAATAAACAAAAAGTCGAATGGACAAAACGTTGAATGAACAAAAACTCAAATGGAATTTGTTGGAACAAAAGGTTGAAATGGGTCGAATAGATAAAACATCAAATGAACAAAAGGTTGAATGGACTTTAAATGGACAAAGGGTAGCTGGACCGAATTACGAATGGAATTTGAAGGAACAAATGTCGCATTGACAAGAGGTCGAAATGGGCAAAAGGTCGAATGGACAAAAGGTTGAAATGGACAAAAGGTCGAATGAAGAAATGATGAAAAATAAACAAAAAAGTCGAATTGACAAAACCTTAAATGAACAAAAGGTCCGATGGAATTTAAAGAGACAAAAGATTGAAAAGGACAAAAGGTCGAATGAAAAAAAATATCAATTGTACAAAAGGTTTAATGAAATTTAAAGAGACAAAAGGTTGAATAAAAGTCTAGACATAAGGTTGAATGTAATTTAAACAGAAAATAGGTCAAAATGGAAAAACAAAAACGAATGGAATTTAAAGAAACAGAAGTTTGAATGGATAAGAGGTCAAAATGGACAAAAGTTTAAAATGACAAAAGGTTGAATTAAAAAAATAGGAAAAATAAACAAACAGTCGAATGGACAAAACGTTGCAAAATGCCAAAATTGAAAAAAGGTCGAATGGAAAAAATATCAATTGAACAAAAGGTTGGATGGAATTTAAAGAGACCAGAAAGTTGAATGGAATTTAACTAAAGATCGGAATGGACAAAATATCGAATGAACAAAAAGTCGAATGGAATTTAAAGTAACAAAAGGATGAATGAACAAAAGGTTGAAATGTACAAAAGATCGAAAGGACAAAACATCAAATTAACAAAATGCAGAATGGTATTTAAATGGACAAAAATGAAACATGAATGGACAAGTGGTCGAAAAGGAAAAAAAGTTTCAATAGACAAAAGGTTGAATGAAAAAATTAGAGAAAATAAACAAAATTCGAATGAACAAAAGGCCGAAATGGACAAAAGGTCAAATCGACAAAACATTAAATGAATAAAGTGCTGAGTTGAATTCAAATTGACAGAAGGTTGAATGGAATTTAAAGGGGAAAAAATGTCAAAAATGTACAAAATTTTGGAACAAAAGTTTGAAACGGGCAACATGTCGAATAGATGAGACAAAAAGTTGAATGGTATTTAAAAGGAAAACAGGTAACTGGACAAAATTTCGACTGAACAAAAAGTCGAATGGAATTTGAAGGAACAAAGGTCGTATTGAAAAGAGGTCGAAATGGACAAAAGGTCGAATGAACAAATTATGAAAAATAAACAAAAACGTCGAATTGACAAAACCCTAAATGAACAAAATGTCAAATGGAATTTAAAGGGACAAAAGATTGAAAAGGACAAAAGGTCGAATGGAAAAAAACACATCATATATACAAAGGTTTTATGAAATGGACAAAAGATCGAAATGTCAAATGAACAAAGAGATAAATGGAATTTTAAGGAACAAAAGGTCGAAATGTACAAAAGGTTGAAATTAACAAAAGATAAAATGGAAAGAAAGGTCGAATGAACAAATTTTGGGAAATAATAAAAAAGTCGAATGGGCAAAAGGAATTTATGGCGACAAAATGTCGAAATGGACAAAAGATTGAAAGAACGAACAGCTGATCAAAAGAGGGAAAATAAACAAAAAGTTGAATGGACAAAAAGTCGAATTGACAAAATGAAGAAATGGACAGAAGGTCGAATGGAAAAAATGGTGGAAAGAACTTTCCAGCTCTTAAAGTTGGAGTTCTCATTAACTTTTATCCGTCTAAAAACTGCTCATAGTGCTCATGTTTCAAAGAAGGAGTTAACTCTTAGTGAGAGAAGTAACTGACGAGTATTTTTAGTTGGAGTGTTCAACATATTTTTTTCGGTTAAAGAACTGTTTAAGTTATAAAGAAGGAGGCAATTTCAAGATTGAGAAATAACTATCGAGAATTTTCAGCTGGATTGCTCGATAGCTTCTGTCTGCCAAACAACTGTTCATGTTTTGAAGGAGGAGTTACTCCAAGAGAGAGAAATTACGTTCGAGTATTTTAGTTAGGTTACCCAAAGCCAAAGGGTGATTTAATTGGTTTACTCGGTATATTGCCTTTCCGACCTTTGAAACTTTTGATTTTTCGAACATTTAAAAGTTATTTGACCTTTTCTTCATTGAGCAATTCTTGCTGAAACCGGTCCACTTGTTGTTCGAGGTCTTAATTGTTGGATGATTTAAATTGATATGTCCTTACAAATTCTTGCAAAAAAAAAACCATGTTTGCATATCATTCCACCAAGGATTTCACATAGTTTTCATGGAACCCGGTTCCACAGAATGTGCGACGTCTGCGGAACCATCGGTGGAACATATCCTATGCCTGTGTTCGCTATACAAACATCTACGGGAGCAGAACGCACTTCCCAACAACATTAGGTACATCCTGGGCGGCGAACCTTCCACTTTAGCGACAGTTTTTTATTTCATCAAGGAAGCTGGACTATACAACAATATTTAGGTCTCTTAAACTTTTTTTTTGCTGTCGGGATATAGGGACTATTATTATATGTTCATGATTAGAGCTATCGAATAAGTACAAAAGAAATTGTTCTAAGAACCTCGAATAAAAAATAGCCGATTACAGGTAACCTTTTGAGCATTCGAATCTTTGTCCCTTTTAATTTCATTCGTCCTTTTGCCTATATCGATATTTTGTAAGCTCAACCTCTACTGTAATTAGATAATAAGCATCCCAGCCTTCAAAAAATAAAATCATTTGTCTACATGTAACCCCGATGCAAAACCACTAATCCAATTAAGCAATGATACTAAAACGGCTTCAATCAAAAACACAAAACCAAACCAAACGAATCAGCCGTCGAAAGCCGAAGCACAATCACCAAATTTCGTCTACCATTTTCCCAGACAGAACACAAAACAAACGAAAACCGAAACCGAAACCGTTGGAAAATAAAATTTGCTTCAGAGAGACGCATGGGGGTTTCTAGAAACCAGAACCACATCCGGTCTCCTGGCCCCCTAACCTGCCTGATGCTTCCTTGAGCTGCTCGATGAAGTCCCGCCCGGTGATGTCCGCCACCGAGTTCGGGTCCATGTTGGACAGCAGCTCCAAGTCCGGTTCGCTCAGCACGGACACGTTGCACAGGTTCGACTTCATCTGGGCGACCAGCTTCTTCAGGTGTATCCGTTCCACCTCGGGGCTGTCGGTCATGTCGCCGGTTTCCTTGTGGGTCGTTATTGTCACGTAGTGGGTTGGCTGTGGCGAGAGAGAAAGATAAAAAATGAAAGAATTTTAAATTTGGGCTCAATATAAGAATTTAATTCTATTAAAATTACATCCCAACATCGGCGCCATTGCCGACGCAACGATTTGTTAAAATAAGAATCGAAAATTTATCAGCCAACAAACAGAGAGTTCATTATCACTGAATGATCCCAACGCGTTGGTCTTGTTATCATACATATTTATATTGTATCTTAAAAGTCCCTCCTTAACGATGGAAGAAGAATAGGAGTAAGAGCAGAAAGCCATCTCCTGGACCACTTTGGTGGCCGAAAATGGGTCCGTTGAAAAACTCTAGTGAAAACTTTTTCACCTCGGCAGACCGAAGCTGCACCGTGACCGACCGTGACGACGGGCAGAACATTGGAATTGCTAAGCAGTCTTTTCGAGCAAAAGTAGAGTGGCGAAAAATTGTTGCAAAACTTATACCACCTTGCTCCATTTGTTCTGGAGGGACACAAATGGCGGTGAGCAGTTGAGTTGTTGAGAGGTCATCAACGGGAAATTACCGGTTTGCGGTTTGCCGGAGAAAGAAGGTCAACATTGTTCAAGTTGGTTTCAGGTTCTGCGAGATGAAAGTTGTGAAAAGGCATCTGTTTTATTGGGCATTTCTGGGGTGAAAATGTGGAAGAAAATTTTCATTTCACACCGGAATTATTGCGGCATGATACGACGTAGGATTCCATTCTAATAAATTTCACTCCGTCGAGGCCACACTGCAACTTTGAGTTAAAATAACTTGATTGTTGAATGAACATTTGAAAAGGTCCTATGTGGACTGCTCGATTTTCTGCGACGATTTTTCATTCGTTAATAGTTCGGCAATCAAAGGTTGAAAGGTCAAAGGGTTAAAAGGACCAATGGTCGATAGGACCAAGGTAGAAAAGTCCAAAGGTCGAAAGAACCAAAACAGATACGCAATTATAACGGAATTACAAGGAAATAAATCAACACTCTCAAAAAGCTCATCATACTGAAAATGGAACAATTGTGGATCGAAGCAAATTGTAAATCATGGCATCAATTAATGTTGAGGCAAATTGATAGTCAAGACAACATGATGATAATGGTGAATTATTGGTAATGGTACAATGTTGATCAAGGTATGCTGTTCATCATGGCAAATTGCTGATCATGTTGAATTGACGGTTAGGGAAATTGTTCATTATGGTAAATCATGGTTATCAGTCAAGGAAAATGGTGGATCAAAGAACATTGATGATCAAGGAAAACTGTTGTTCATGAAAAATTGAAGCAACGTAACATGTTAACCTTGACGAATTGTTGATCGAGGCTAATCATTTGGTTTAGAAAAAAAAAATCAAAATACAGCTATTTTATTTGGACAAAAAATAAAATAGCAGCATTTTGATTTTGTTGAAAGGCCATTCACAGCACAAATCCCAGTCAAATCGTACAATACACAAAGCTACTCAAGCAACATACATGATCTGTAACAGGATATATAACCTTTGTATGACTGGTTTTGGTTGTATAACAGTTTACTCAATATATTTCTATGAATTTGTGTTACTTGGGTAATTGACAAATGAGGAAAATTCTTGGTCAAAGTAGATTGTTGATCACGGCAAATTATTGATCAAGGCGAATAGTTGATCATGGTAAATTATTGATCAATGCATAATGTTGATGATGGTGGATTGTTGTTAAAGGTAAATTGATGATAACAGCAGACCATTGTCCATAGTATCCAAGGCAACAACTGTTGATCGAATGGTTGTTGTTGATAATTAATTCTTGATAAAGCTAAATAAACGATCAAGCTGATTATTGTTGAATTGTTGATAAAAATATACCCGAGTAGCACACTCTCATCACAATAAATTACAGCAACTTGTTTATGACTGAAATAAGTCGTATATAAGTTTCTACAATTGATTTGTGACAAACGTGCTACTAGGGTATTGCTGATCAAGGCTAATTGATGATCAAAGAAGACATTTGATCAAGTTGGTATATTGATCAAGGTAAATTGACAAATCATTGATCAAGGCATTGATCATAAAACATTTGATGGAGAATTGTTGATCATAGGAAATTATTGATCTATGCTCACTGCCCAACTAACATTGAAAGCATTGCAGAGATTTTATAGCATTCTACCAGTCCAAATTATGGTTATTCTTGGGTGTTGATCAAGGCAAATTAATGATCAAGGTAAATTGATGTTTACGGAAAATCATTGATCAAAGTGAATTGTTGATCATGATTGTTAATCAAAGTTAATAGATGATTGTGGCAAATTATTGATCAAGGCTATTTGTTGATAATGACAAACTGTTCATCATGGTTATTCGATAATCAAGGTAAACTGTAGGCGATAGAAAATGGTCGAAGCAAATTTGTTGATCGAAGTAAATCGTCAATCAAGGCAGATTGCTCGGGAAAAATCCGTTCCTATACTCGTGAAACAGAGCCGTGAACCATATTTCACGGTCCGCGCGTAGAAGGAAATGTACACCGTGAAGTACAGGGTAGGCCTAAATAACTGACGCACTTTTTTGCTTCAGTGTAAAGTTCTTCTGCATTATGCGAGAGCTATCTGGTGGCTAACACATGAAAGAGTGACTGATTAAAATGTAAACAAACTACTGTGCGCTAACGACGCCGGTGGTGTAGTAGTAAGCGTGATTACCTCTCACCCCAGCAGGCCTGGGTTCAATCCCAGTCGGCGCCGCCGGGATGTTCTGAGGCATAACATCTCTGATCACGCCTTCCTTCGGATGGGAAGTAAAGCCGTTGGTCCCCGGTTCATGAGTGTATGGGTCGATAGGTAGGGTCCAGGTGTGGGAGCTGCCTTCCTGGCACGTCGGTAGCATTGGTGCTCAGCACGGAAAACAAGATCGACGGAAAAAACAAACCAAGGAAAAAAAAAACTACTGTGCGCTATATTACATTAACAGGAAGTGCATCAGTTAGAGATGGATTTCAAAAGAAAAAGGATTTTGCAGTTGCATTTCGAGGGTAAGCGTCCTTACCAGATATTGGCTGACACCAGGAAGGAAGGAATATGTCGCACATTAATCGACCGGACGTTGAGAAGATGGAGGACGGAGGAGACTATCGTTCCGAAGTTAAAACCTGGTCGTCCGCGCAGCGTACGCACTAAACAGCTTGTGAAGGTAGTACGAGAACGAATTCGACGAAATCCTTGTCGATCGTCATATAAACTCGCTCAGGATCTGGCGGTTTCCAAGAAAATTATCAGATCAGTTCTCAAAGACGATTTGGGATTGGTGCCGTACAAGAAAAGAAGAATTCATGGACTTTCAGAAGCTAACAAGAAGAACCGAATTATTCACTGTCAAGAACTGCTTCGCCAACACGGTGATTCCTTGATCGTGTTTTTGGACGAAAAAAACTTCGTATTGCCGCAAAGTTTCAACGCTCAAAACGACAGGGTTATGCAGCGACGATTCAGAATATCCCTTCTTCAATTCGCGGAGTTCAACGATTCCAAAATCATACTTCTGTCATGGTGTGGGGAGCGATTTCTGCAGAAGGTCGTCTTAACAAAGGAGTAAAAATGAACGCGGCTTACTAAAGGGTGATACGGTCAAAATTTGGTCAAGGGAAAACGCGTGTAAATCGGTGAAATCGTTTATTTAAAAAATCAAATTAAATTTCTTTTTCAAGTTCAATTAGTATAAAATTCAGGAAAAATATTCAGTTAGGCTTCCGCTTTTCCAAATCCGAATTGCCGGGCCTTACGCTTGACCCCTGCCATCAGATTTTGTACAGCCACCTTGTCCACCTTCTTCGCCGCAGAAAGCCAGTTTGCCTTGAACTGCTGCTCGCCCTTAGCAGTTTTTTGGTCTTCTTTAGGTTCCGCTTGACAATAGCCCAGTATTTCTCAATTGGGCGGAGCTCTGGCGTGTTGGGAGAGTTCTTGTCCTTGGAAACCACCTGCACGTTGTTGGCGGCGTACCACTCCATGGCCTTTTTACCGTAATGGCAAGATGCCAAATCCGGCCAAAACAGTACGGAACAACCGTGTTTCTTCAGGAAAGGCAGCAGACGTTTATTCAAACACTCTTTCACGTAAATTTCATGGTTGACAGTCCCGGAAGCTATGAAAATGCTGCTTTTCAAGCCACAGGTACAGATGGCTTGCCAAACCAGATATTTCTTTGCGAACTTTGACAGTTTCATGTGCTTGAAAACATCTGCTACCTTTCTTCTTCCTTTTGCCGTATAAAACTCCTGTCCCGGAAGCTGCTTGTAGTCGGCTTTGACGTAGGTTTCGTCGTCCATTACCACGCAGTCAAACTTCGTCAGCATCGTCGTGTACAGCCTCCGGGATCGCGCTTTGGCCGTCGTATTTTGTTTATCATCGCGATTTGGAGTCACTACCTTCTTGTAAGTCGATAGTCCGGCTCGTTTTTTGGCTCGATGCACGGTTGTAGACGATACACCCAGCTTATTTGCGGCATCTCGGAGAGAGAGGTTAGGGTTTCGCTTGAAACTACCGGCAACTCTCTTTGTCGTCTCAGCGGCTTCCGGTTTTCGATTTTCCCCCGATCCAGACTTCCTGGCTGTCGACAAACGTTCCCCAAACACTTTAATTACATTTGTAACGGTTGATTTGGCAACTTTTAGCGATTTTGCCATCTTTGCGTGCGAGTAGCTCGGATTTTCGCGATGCTCGAGCAAAATTTTGATACGCTGCTCTTCTTGCTTGGACGGCATTTTGACAACTGAAGAGTGAATTCCAAAATCAAAATAGGAGCAACATTCTACACACACACACCTTCAAAATGAGGGGTGTTCAGGTTTTTTAAATGCAAAATTGAAAGAAATACGTCAAGTTGATATTGACCAAATTTTGACCGTATCACCCTTTATGTAAGAGAGGTTCTGGAATACCATTTGAAGAAGCATGCTTCAACGATGTTCGGTAACCGCAAATGGGGGCACCGCAAATTTGCCAGATTTAATTCCTATGGAGTTAT